GAAAAGCTAAAAACGTGCCTTGCACTCTAAGCAGAACTATCGTGTTTCGTAGTGTTTTCTGACCTCGCTGTTTCATATTTTGTTTTGGAAATTTGATGAGAGTTTCGTCTTAGGGTGTCATCCAAATGTGTATGCTGGCGAATGAATCCTTTAATTTGGTGCCCGGAGGCGGTGTGATATCCTTATTGGCAGCCGAATGGGGTAAGACGGGCAACAATGATGAAAGGAATGCAAACCATCTGATATTGTTATTTTAAGCTAACTTACGCTGTTCTACATCATTTGCAACGCATTTCCATCGAAATTATTTAAATAGACAGCTTTGAATTTGTTTAATTTTTTCATTACATCGATCAATACCATTACGCCTATAAGTAGCCGTGCGATGCTACGAACCTTACAATATTGACTGTAAGATCAAAAGCCAGATGTGTAAGATGTATTAGCATAATTATTCGGCAGTAAATATGTAAAGAAGTTCAAACTAACGTTGTGCCCGTCTTGCCCCAACATCAGTGCCCGTCTTACCCTCCCCGGTGGGGTAAGACGGGTTTTTGCAGGGTCTTGCTAAAAACACTCTCAATTGAAAAGTATTGGATTTAGACCTTAGGTGTCAAAGGGGCACTGAAAGAAAAATGCCTGAAGATGGTTGTGCTAAATTGGTGAAGCAATCGAAGAAAAGACTTCAGAGGTACAGACCCGCAAAACTAACATGCCCGTCATACCCCACTTTCCCCTATTTCCAAACCTTTCCGACAATTACCCCGAAATGTGTTGTAAACATGACGCGGGTTTTCGACGATTTCAGCACAGCCGCGACCGGCACTGCGTATGTCCACTTTAGCTAGCTTTTTGGACACCGAAAGGAAGACATTGAACCAAAGTATTGTGATATTAACATACTTTGGACAATTTCCTATCGACTGATCGTTATAAAAAGTCAAAATTCCAAAATTCATTTTTTGATTAAATTCGCGCTAATCTGGCGTTTGGCCACACTGTGCGGTGGGGTAGAGCAATTTGGCCGGTGTTAATTTGAGGCCTGGGTTTTATGCTACGGGCAAGTCAGCTTCAGCGCCAGCAATGACATGTGTCTTTTACGCATTTTTAGGCTGACTCAATGTCGAGACTTATCTTCGAATGATTTTGACTCAGGTCTTATTTCAGCATTTTCCTGCACAACTGAAAATGTGCTTCCTTAGCATAGGTACACTGCTAAATCAAACATTTGCATTTTTTGTGGTGAGAAAAACGTTAACTGTTTATTCTAGTAAGGAAATAATCGACTAATTTCAATTAAAAAATTCTTAGCAATCAAAGAAATAACTCAACTCAGTCTCAAATCCTCACATCTCATAGGCCTCCGATGTCTGCAACCGAGTTGTTAATAGTGTTTACTAGCTGGAGATGTGACTATCAGTTTGGTTTGAGCAGAGCCCTAGCAACTTCGTCGTGCTGCTTTGCGCAGTGTCTTGATGAGCCCCTAGGAGACAGACTGTGCCGCAATGCCACCGCCAACGGCTATAAACCCAACCAGCTCGGTACGACGACCTTATCGTTACATAGGTGGCGGAACCGGGGACGGGGGGGGGGGGCACCGGGGCACCGTGCCCCCTTGATTTTGCCATTTTAACATTAGCCCTATGGGTGTTGCATGGAAAGAATGGGCAGTGCCCCCCCCCCTTAATTGAAGGTGTTTCGCCGCTACTCTTATCAAGTCGGCCGTTCCAGCTTAGCAATCTTGAGAGCACCGTCAAAGCTGTTCCACTAGCACCGGCAAAATTACCCCGCATTGCCACTCTGAAAAGTTTTGTCTACAAAGTCGTTATGGTTTTACGGAAATACATGAAATTACTATTTGAAACGCTGAACATCCTAAGCAATGGGACCACAATGTCAAAATTTGTCTACAGCCGGAATTCTACATGCCAGGCATATAATTTTTCGAACGGAAGTAAAAGTTACCATTTTCTAATCAAATTTAGGTATGTTTTACTGATTTTGAAGAAAATTACGAAGGGGAGATTTTTGAGAAAAAAAAAATTCCTACGGATTCCTCATTTTATGTTGACCGCAGTACAATATACCTACGTGTTAAGATTTCTTTAAACATCGAAATATAAAAACTAAACAATTTTATACGTTGTACGTATCAAATTGTCAATCAAATGAATACCGATGTGCTGGAAGCAGGAGGCCACGCCGGTATTTAGTTAAAATTGCCGTAAGCCAAGGTGCTTTATTTGGTTTCCATGGTTACTGACGCTATTTCGCTTGCATTTCGCGAGCAGAGAAGCTGAAAAGTTGAAACAGATTCAACTTTTCAGCTTGCAACTCGCGCCGGACTGATTTTGCTTGCGTTTCGCTCGCGTTTCGCTCGCGTTTTCCGAGCAGGATCCGGCGTGATTTCGCGGCGTAAAAGCGAGACGACCTGCGTGTTGGGAGCTGAAAATATGCCATGCATTGCAATGGGAGAAGCGAGACGCGATTTGCGAGCTGAAAAGCTGTGTTCCGGCCTTTAAGCTAGAAAGCTGAAACTCCTCCTAGATCTTCTTGGAGAAGCATTCTGCGTCCCAAGACTGTTTCTGGAGTATCAATCGCAACGTGATCAGTGTCTGGACGCATATTACCCCACATTACCGTGACCATGGCCTTTTGTATAGGAATAAAGCGGGATGACACAAAGGCCTTTTCCGTCGCCCATATGGGACCGTTTTGGGATTTGGACGGGTGTTTTATCTCGAGCACGGACTAGGTAGTCCAGATGACCACATTGATGTCATCGGCCCTCCAGTTTTGTTAGCCTCAGGCATAACGAAACACATGTTTGGCCATTTTAAGACGTTTTTGACTGTTTTGAGCCCTCCGGTAAGTAGAGCTTAAGTCACCTTGAGTTAGGTACCCTGAAATGATACTCTTAGACAGCTGGTAATGCATCCTGAAAAGCATGTTTACCAACTTTCTAACGCTAAGACCCTTTTGACGGCCATTTTAGCGCCACACAGTTTTGGCCACATGGCTCACTCGTGAAAGCTGACAAAAAAAGAGCATAAACTTGCAGCGATTGACTCCCGACAAATCATCGACGTCACTTGTTGACTGTGCGTCCAGTTAGCGACAGACATTGGCTACATACTGGATGGTCTCAATCACCCTCAGCCGTTGTGAATGGCCCAGTGCGGACTAAATACCGAGACGTTCCCGTATCGGAGACCTCTATGTTGCGGCGTAAGCCGTCTCCACAGGAAGTGAACTCTCTGGCAAAAAATATTTTGTCTAGACGAATTAGTTACCGTGGAGCACATTCACAGTTGCCATGGCAACCCCAAAAGCTCAGTTACAAAATAAATTAAGCGTGGCTTTAAATAAGAGAGCCTCTAAAAGAAAAATTTAGGTGAGAAGGAACTTATGGGACACCCTGTACTACATGTACTACATGTAGTACATGTACTACATGTAGTACATGTAGTAAAACATCCAACCCTCCTAACAGTGTTCTATTACCTTCTTCCTGGTGTTCATTTAGAAGCGCGAGTAATTTAAGCGGGGAAGGGACTAAATTAACTTTCCTCAAGTGCTCAGATATGTACTGTGCAATTACACCGCTAACGGTGTTAATATTTTTTTTTGTGTGTACAGGCACTTATGCGGCGGACAATTGTTTGCTTTGGTTGGTTAGATCCACTGGTTTATTGAGAACGTATGGTGCTGACTGCTGAGAGGATGGGGATTGGTAGAATAGTATCAATCGGCTATCGAATGTGGCGTCTCAATGACTAGGCCCACCTGTTTGGGACGGAAGTTTGTTTGTTTCCAAGGCCAAATGCCGCGAATAAGAATTGATAAGAGACAGTATTTCCACGGTACTTTTATAAATGAAACTGTCGTTCATGTCTATTTCTTTTAATGGCATTTGTCATTGGGCGATAAGGAAATTGTAGCATTTTTCTATTTAGGCGATGATACCTATTTTGGAAGAAGGAAACTGCCGTCTGCCATACCTTCTTTCCAATTTACGGCCTCTAGTAAATGGGCAATAATCTAATAATCTAATTATCTTAATACCTTATCCTATAAAGACAATCCTAATCTACCACTGAAGAGGCAAATACCTACCTATACTTACATACGAAATACCCCGAAAAGTAATGTTGAATACGATCAGAACGAGTGCCCTGAAAAGCGGGTGAAACAAAAGGGCCCTTAGTTATATGAAATAGGAATAGAAGTACGGAAGTCTGTAAGATTCCTCGAGTGGGAATTTATATTTGTCACACGCGACATGATAATCACTGGCAAGAATCAGTCAGTCATGTTTTATCAACATTCACGATCACATACACGCGCACGCGCACGCACACATGGACGCACATACACTCATACGAAAGGGGGCGGTCGGGGTCGGTCCACCGCCGGTGCCGCTCAGAAGTCAGAGCCTGGCGCGGCGGTCACAGCGACCCGCCGGCTCCCTCTACGCTGACCACTTGGTTGCATAGGTCTTTGTAGAGGTAGAAGAAAATGTGGCCGGTTTTCTGGTGTCCCTCGCCCAGAACGTCGGCCTCGTCGACACAGCTGACTCGGCGATCGTCATAGTGGTACCATGATATAGTGGTAGTGGCAGCAAAGTCATAGTGGTACCGTCATAGTGGTATAAACGGTCGTGTAAACGTCGTATACCGTTTACCAATCCTATGTTTATAAGATTAGACGATTCGGATGTGTCTGTTTTAAAGACAAGTGTCTTACGGATGTCTTATGTCTCAGAGTGTCGAGGGAAGAGGCAAGATGGGTTGAGTGCCGTCAAGTTGCACCTACCTTAACCTTGCCGTACATGATCATCCCAAACCTCATCTCCCATTTGGACGGAGCCCGCAGAGCCGTGTAGTTACGCTGCCTCCCGCCAGAGGCGCTGGCGGCGCGTTCGATCGGCCGGCGCTTTAGAGCGGGACCATCAGAGGGGGAGCGGCGGAGATGTCGGGTCGGAGGACCGCCGCCCAGTCACTCAGCTGTTGCGCCGGGGAGAGTGCGGTAGCAGAGCCTCTGGTCTAGCACTGGGTACACGTCTGGGTGACACCAGTGTCCCACGTCTGGGGTGGCGTGTAGTGTGGTGAAAAAGTGGTGCAGAACGGTGGTCAACATTGGTGACTGCGCTAGTGAGGGCGTGGAACTGGTGACCATGTGGTGACTGAGCCACAGGCTGTGCTCCGCTCTGGTGACGGAGCTGGTGATCTTACTGGTACTGGTGACGGTGGCAGCGGGAGCAATCGACACAAGGCCAAACACGCACACGGTGAGATGCTTATGAATCGCAGCATGATGCGATTGCTGATAAGATACCAAAAAGGTTTTCAATTTTCATCTCATATTTCCTCCCATACGCCAGACAGATGGTTACTTATGTAGTCCTGGTACGCCTCGGGGCCTAAAACGTCGGATCTTATCGAGGTCCTTGTAGTTTTATCCATTCTGTCTTAGTCTTTGGAGTGGAGTTTTTCAGGGCCCGGCTCTCTGTTTCCTGAGGCATCCTTCGTGACCTTCTTGAAGATTCTAACTATAACAATGTGAAAACAAAATAGGTAATCAACTCTCTTTTTCTTATTCGGTGCTATCCCAAACTACACGCATCTAGACTATTAAAACTCATACTCATACTCTTAATGTATATGTAATATGAATGAATGAGGACATTCGCAATATACTTACCGGCTATTACTGCCTCTCAGTCTCGTCAAGAGATAAAACAAATGAACGTCAATCGGCGAATCGGGGAAATTACCTACTCTCATTGAAGGCATTCATTTTATCATTCAGCGAGGATTCATACCCATCCAGCATGAGCGTTATTCAGCATATTTCACACCACGTTAAGTGCTGACATGACTATTGTTGCAATATCTGGTCCTGACATCTAGTCTACATTTAATGCGCAGCCTGCAGCAATATTGAACCAGTATCGCAGTGCTGATCACCTGCATGCATGTTAAGTTCATGAATCATACATCATTTTTCTTTAGATTCGTAGTGTCTAATGCACTTGGAAGGTCGACTGACGGCTATAGCTTAGCTGCCCATTAAAGATGCGACCAAGGAGACCTAGCCTAGCTATACCCTTACAGCTTACTTCCCTTATTTCTGCATGAACACTAACAGATGATTGAATTTATGGCACAATGAACCGCATCCGAACGATGAGTTACACCCACATAACTACACGGTATTGACTGTCCAACAAACTGCAGGAGGTCAGCGTAAATACTGAGCCTTGACGGCACATTATAAACGGTCAAGGGCGGAGCAGGATACGTCGTCGACAGCTGAGGACACGCCCCATGAGGAGGACAAGTCCACAGGGTAGTGCGCTGCAATGTTACGCTGAAATTTGCGCTGAAATTCATCACAATCTCGGCGCTAGGTTGGAAATATTGAAGCAGCCTAGCCGCATATCGTCGTCTGTAAGGCGGTTAAAATTGTTCAGGTGATGGCCCCAGATGCTTCCTCGGACCTCCTGAAAGTTTGCCACCAGAACGGATTCCCTAGGTTAAACTATTGCGGCTTAGGTCAAACGCGTATTGAAAGGTCTAATCTAGGTACATATGTGCAATTCACTCAAGACACCCGAACATGACGCCACTTTCGCTGTGCCCAGTTGTGAGCTATACACGCAATATTGATCTAAGACGACTTCTCTAACATCAGTCCAGCATCGACGAAGGATTTTCGAAAGTGGACTGGAATGTTCACTCGTAATTCACCACTGCATTCACTCACCAGTGTAATTAACATTTTCCCGAGTCCGAATACGCAAAGGTCGCATAATCACTGTGTCAAACGTTGGAGGAAAAGAAAAATAAACATTAAAAATCTAAATTAAAGGTTTGGAACGGTTACGCCAAGTACGTGGGGGGGGGGGGGGGACAAAACTTAAGTCGGATGCTTTTGTACTTGTTATCCAATAACTGCGTAAACGTGCCTGCCTACGTTTTTCTCGATCGATTAGGCAAGTAATAAGCTATAGATAAAGTTAATGTGCGGAACTGAGAAATGCTAGTCTTTCGACCCGCTTAGGTATGTTCTAGCTCGCCTTTGTCTACTGACATTGTATTCCGTGTTTCTCGATCGGTCGGTATTGGCTAAAAGATAGGTCACCGAAACGTTTCAGTGTAATTTTTGTGACCGTGTCTCAGTGTCCAGGTGGGTCCGTGTTAAAATAATTACGCTGATAATTACGCCTGCCTATTATCAATAATATGGTTGGACGATAAAAGTAGGTGCATACAGCAGCTATTATCATAAAAGTGTACAGCAATAAGATAAAAGTGATAAAAGCGTATACAGCAATAAAAGTGTATGTGTTGCTTGAAAACGTGATAGATTGAAGAGAACTCTGCCTCTACGCTTTGTTTGTGCTGCTAAAATTGTTTTTATGCATAGGAGGTGCGGATCTTTCTTTACGATCTTCGTGGGTTCGCCTTTAAAGGTAGTGTGCCACCTTTGAAAGATTTCCCATTTTATTTTTCCTAGGATAAGAAGCTTCTGTTTTTACCTAATATCGCAAAAAAATCAAAAATGGGCCTGGAATAGTGCCTTTTTCGCCTAAAAGTTTATCGGTTTTTAGATATGTATAACAACTGTAGTGGGCTCACCTGCAAACAGGCGTCGGCAACAATCGCAAATGCGGCGCACATGTGACAATAAGCAAAGGTCATTATAGTGTTACGACCATACGACGTACGGGAATGAGTTATCAGCTGTCTAATCGTAGACAACACAATGTCGAGCCTTAAACTGTAAGCCTGTATTGGTATTGTTTCTTTTATTTGGCTGTCGAACATTATTTATGGTTTGAAATATGATTTTATGTAAAATAATTGATATGAAAAAGCCGTCTCATAAGTTATGACCCCATTTCACCACACGCAAGTGGCAGAAATGACAATGATCAGCTGACGCATTTTTCTTGGCCGAAGTCAGAGCGCGCAGCCCGACGCACCACCACCGCACCACAAAGTATGAGCAGAAGCCGCGCCCAAAGCCAGGGCCCCGGTAACGTGAGGTAGCCGAGTCGGGGCAGCGTGCGCTGACCCAAGCCGGGGCCGCAGCTTTGGGCGCGGTCTACCGCATCCCCGCGGGCAGCCCCGGGCTATCACATGACACCGGGAGGGCGCGCGGCTCCGGCTTGGGTCAGCGCACGCTGCCCTGACTCGGCTACCTCACGTTACCGGGGCCCTGGCTTTGGGCGCGGTCTACCGCACCACCTAACAGGCGTGTTCGAAACCGCAGGAGCTGATGATGAACGGGTTTATCGAAACTTGATTGGATGAGCATATCGGTAATAGCGATTTCAGTGTGTGCATTTATTGTTCATAGTGGTGTGAAATGTGGTTGGGGTACGACCGACAACCCGTCGGGGCGAATTTCGCACTGGGGTACTCAAAATTTGAAGAATTTAAGACGTTTCCACGAGTTTTGAAGGTATGGATAAGTTCTAAAAATCCGGTTCTCCTTATCTGGGCCATTAACTCCATACGGTCCAGGAAAGCTGGCACACTACCTTTAAAGAACAATCTCCCGGCAACCGACGGCTCACATCCAGTCCTCGTAGCGCGTTCCGAACGCGGCGATACTCTGCCACTGGGGATGGGTGAGGTTGTTCTCCTGACGCACGTGCACGTAGCGGCCGGCCAGCGGCACGTGGCACGTGAACCGGCGCGAGAACCCGGCCGCCACGAAGGTGCCCAGCTGGCGGTGACAGAGCGGCGCGTCGGCCCAGTCGTCGGGCCGAGAGCCGACGCGCAGCTCTGTCCACAGCACGTCTCCCGTCTGCGCGCCGGCCACGTAGAGCAGGCGCGTGACCAGCCGCCGGGCGCCCAGGTCGTAGCTCCACCAGGCCGTCTGCTCGCCGCTGGAGGTGGCCGGATGCTGCAGCGGCTCCGGAGCCTCCGCCAGCAGATCGTCGCCCACAAACTCGCACAGCTGGGGCAGGGCGAGCTCGCAGCCGACGTCGTGGAGTGTCCAGCCGCCAAAGCCGGACGCCACGCAATCCTCATCGTTTCCGTTATCCGGCTGAGAGGGGTACCAAAACGCCGATGAGGTGTTGAACTCGTCGCCATCCACAGTGACGAAATAACCCTCCTCGGCGCGTTCGTTGATGCCGATTCCAAACTTATAAACACCCTGGATACTGTAAGTTTCAAAGACGGTCTTAAGAGCGTCTGTCTGCCTGGGAACGTAGGTTATTCCACCCAGGTGGAGACAGGCATTGGCAGCGTCAGTGGCGAATGCGTAAGTGTCGGTGAGCCTCAGCCAGGATCCGGCCAGGTCGTCGTAGCCTTCCGGAGGGCTACCGTCGTCGCGGTCAAACTGCCACACGTAGCTGATGACGGCGGGGAGCGGCTCGGCACTGGGCTGCTGCTCGGCGGCCGGCCACTGGACGCACTGGCCGGCGCTGAACTCCACCGCCCAGCAGTCGACGGCGCGGCTGCACGCCCGCTGACACTCGGCCAGCGTGGGCTGCTGCTGCCGGCGCAGCGGCTGGCCGACCAGCAGCGTGCTGGTCAGCGGCACCCAGCGGCCGCCGTCGCGATGGCAGACCAGCGGTCCGTCCGGCCGCCAGCCGGGCCCGCACTGGCAGCTGCCCGGCAGAGCGGCCTCCTGGTGGCTGCAGTGCGCGCCGCCGGCCACCAGCAGGCGGCACTCGGCGTCTGAGGCGCACGGCTGGCCCAGCCAGCTGACGCCGCGCCGCCGGCCGCCGCTCCAGCCGTCCACACTCAGCCGGCTCTCACCGGCCCACAGCAGCACGTCGGTGAGGGCGCAGCTGCCGGCCGCCCAGTCGAACTCGAAGCCCAGACACCGCAGCTCGGCCAGACATCGGTGCTGGCACTGACAGGTCGAGTCGGCCGGAAACGTGGCGAAACGCGCCGCCTCCGGGAGCAGCTGCTGACCGGTGGCAATACCGGCGAACTGGTAGAACGAGGACGGCAGCGTCATCTCCCTGCTCTTCAACATGTCCAGCGCCTCCGTCGGTAGGTGAGATAATGTATTTTCGCCTCTGGCAACATCCTTTTCATAGGTATTGTTCACAGTTATTGTATTTTCATAGGTAATGTTTGTTGTCAGACCTTCTGCTAAAAGCAGCGTCGGGTCGGTCACTATCAACATCAGAAGCGGCATCATCATGATCGTCGACAGCAGGCTCACGGCCTCCGGGAGGTGACGGTGCCGTCCGGGGCGTCTGACCATGACGGCGGTCGGAGACCAACTGCTCAGGGAGGTGCGTCCATCGACCGAGCG